CAAATTTTCACCGGAATTTCAAACTTTTTAATCAGAACCTTTAGAAAAAAATGTGGTTGCAGTTTTGTAGCTCAATAAAATTTAGTATAATAAAGTGCAAGTGCAACGTAACTGCAAGTGCAGGTAACTCCTAGCTACTTAAAACTTGCACTCTATCGCACTAAAATTTAACGAAGCTTTTGTAAAAAGTTGTTTGGAGTGAACCTCTCGATAAAAGATATCCAACAAATTGTGATGTTACTATAAGAATGCTGTTTCCGGGCTAGTACATACATCTAAGATCATTTAAGATGTTACGATCTGTTAGCTTTTGTGGAAAAAATTTGTACCTATACAGTATTTTAATGTAGTAGTCAAAGTTCAAAGGGGCATGACTATTATATTTAAAAAAAGTAATTTAGCTGGCTTTTCTCCCAACAGGCGATTTCTTAGAGGCTCGTATATAAGGCCGGCGCTCAAATATTTGCCGGGCAGATCTGTCAATTTGTCGTATTTTAGTTTAGTTTTCCACTAATCCAGAGGATTTTCACCGAGAAGAGCTCATTTTTCTCTAAGATGTGCATTCAATTGAGCTTTAATTTCCCATTTTTTAATGTTTCCAGATTCTACATCCGAGCCTTCGTTTTCGCTGGAGGAATCTAAAATTAAATGTAGGTTGCTTATAAGACTTTTAGCAGTACTAAAAGCCGGTTATTGCCCGCACCCTGCTTAAACAGACTTATACTACGTTCAAATTGACGAGCTAAACATGTTAAATGGGCTTGAACCAGTTAAATGAACAAAACATGTTCATAAACAAGTTAAATCGCATGCAATTGTTGTTGGAAAATTGAACCAGTTAAATCATTTAACTCGTTTGAAAACCAGTTCAGCGCAGAGTTGTATCAGAAAGCTTTCTGCTCCGGCCAATCAGAAAGACACAAAAGCTTTCATTTGACTCGCCAACGTTCAAAAAAATTATATTCTGACAAATATTAAAAAATTAAAAATCATCAAAAAATATCAAAATTGTATGCATGTCTGTCCGCCAAAAAAAAAGAGTCCAAAGCGGTAATTAGTAATTTTTCATGAGGTCTCATCATACGCAGAGATAAATAGTGCATACGAACTAAACATTTTGAAGTCTCTAAGTAATTCGTATGCGTTAATATCATTAAGCAGACATTCGCACAAAACAAATTGAAGTCCAAAAACTTCACACAAACTTTTTTTCGAATTTTTATTGGTAATCAAACAACCGTCAAGGTTAACTCCAAATATTCAATGTGAACGATTGTGTTTTCCAAAAAGCTCTTTTTCATTTAACAAGTTAAATGGGGCCAATTTGAACCTAATATTACCGCCCAATTCTGTGTTTTCTTAATAAATTATTTGTAAGGAAATTTTATCAAGTATAAGCTCCCATCGCATTCTGTGTCAATATTTATAAAATAAAAAGCTCTACGATTTCCACAAGAGGGAAACTGATTTTCATACGAGGGCAACTGATTTCATTGTTACATATGAAAAATATGAATTTAAAAGCAAAAAAGCTTTTGGCTGCCGTAGTCGAGTAGGTAGAGATGTCGGCTATAAATGCTGTGTGTCCCAGGTTCAAATGCCAGCACATGCAGCATTTGAATGATAGAAAAAATTTTTTAATATACAAAATTTATATCTTCATATGAAATTTCAATTTTTAAACGCTTGTCTATAGCATTTTCAAGCTTGATAATTTATCAAGAAAAAGAGCTTTTGATTTCTGAGAATTCCAGTTCTTGATTAATAATAAAAATTGACAAATTATAAAAACGTTTTATTTATCAAGTGCACAAAATCGGGCTGTTAGAGCCATTTTAACAATATTAGAGTGGACACTCTGCGCTTGTACAAATTCGCATTCGCAAAACATTCGTATTATGTGATGCGAATAAGAATGTATAAAACGATGCGAACCATTCGCATAACGAATGCGAATGCAAATATTCGCAACATCCCTGCTATGCACCATGCTAGACATTATGCACCGGCTCGTGCGTATCCCTAAAGGCAAAGCTCATGCAGTGTCTCAAGCAGGAATCACACGATTTGTACATTTGTACAGTTACAGAGTAGTGTTGTCTGGGAAGCTTTTATTTTCCTGAACTCATTCCCGACAAAAAATTCTGGACAACACAGCTCTGTGACTGCCAAATTGTACAAATCTGTACAAATGTACATATCGTGTGCTCCGTGCTTTAGTTGGAAGTTTGTTTAGCAAACTTTTATTATTATTGTAAATATTTTAACTATACTGCAAAGTTTGTACTGAAATCTGGAGAAACAAGAAAGCGAGTTGATATATGTAAACGTGGTAAACTTATGCCGATTTCGTTTCTACCGAAAAATGCAACCTTCTCTTTGCTCTCTACGCACAAACACTAAGAGGGCGATGTAGAAACGAAATCGCCATTAGTACTTTAGCACTTTATTAAAAATTTATCCACCGACAAAAACTCGGGCATACTTTACAATAAATTGCTTAATAAACATCTACATATTTATCCGAACATATTAAGTTGTAAAGAATTTATAAAAGGTTTCAACAATTTGTTTCGAAAGACTTTTAATACATAACTAAATATGTCGAAAGAAAATAATGGATCGATTACGAATTGCAACAGACCTTCGGTTGAGTTGCCAGTGGCTAAAATGGTATTATAGATGGAAACTGGCAACTAGTTTCGTAACTATGTTTGTAATTTTATGGTCAACGTGAATTCGAAAAACAAACAGTGGCTACTGAAATTGGCGAGGAGATGTGGATCCGGGTGAAGTGGAATAAAGGTGAAGCTTCGTAGAGGAATAATAAGTCTCTTTTGTGAACGNAAAGGTTTCAACAATTTGTTTCGAAAGACTTTTAATACATAACTAAATATGTCGAAAGAAAATAATGGATCGATTACGAATTGCAACAGACCTTATAGATGGAAAACTGGCAACTGAGTTGCTATATGGCCAACTGTGGTTTCCGCGTAAATTTAGATTTCTCGGTTTATTTTTTCAACGGTTTTTGAAGCTTTCTTAAACTCAATCCTTGATTGCTTGTACTTAAAAATTCTATTATCTTCAACTTTATAAAACTTATGTAAGTATAGTTGCTATTCATAATATACATTTTCATTTCAGTTGCGTTGCCAACCATAATCGACTAATAAGTCGGTTATATTACCATTTTGTGCTAGAAATGCAGAAATGCTGTATATCGAAAATATAGTTTCGTAACTATGTTTGTAATTTTATGGTCAACGTGAATTCGAAAAAAAACCAGTGCAGTGGTGATGTGGATCCGGGTGAAGTGGAATAAAGGTGAAGCTTCGTAGAGGAATAATAAGTATCTTTTGTAAACAATTTCTTGATGGATTCATGATTTTATTCAAAGAAACAGAATTACACTAAGTAACTTTACAAAATTACAATATAAAGTAGACGCATTAGGCACATTAACCTTAAATAGTATGCAAAAAATAATTAAGCGTAGCAGTAGTATGTAGTATTATACAACAAAAAAAAGTATAGATCAAATGAAGATTAACGCAAATTCACAACGGAAAACAAAACCAAATAGATATGCCAATTACCCTTACAAAAGAAGTGTAAATATGTACTAGTTTTGTAGCAACTATTCGACAGAATTCATGGATGCATACAAGATGTAAACACATAATACATACTTATATATAAAATGTTAACAAATCGCGCACAAAAGATTTTACATTAATCATTTTCAATAAAAATTTTCATTTTTGTCTATGTAACATTCAAATTGCATTTGACTTTTATTTACTAGAAAAGCAGTAACTTCTATGCACTCATTTACCTAGGTAAAATCTATTCTCGCTAACTACACACATATTTATATACATACATATGTACATATTGCTTTCGTATACGAAAGATTTGTATGCACACACATACGCTTTGTGTGTTCCATGTATTATATACAAAGAGTATATTGATTGATTAATAGGACGCAGCTAACTAAGTATTTGTATATACATACATATAGTATAGGTATAGATTTAATTTGTTAATTAGTTACTCGTTTGTCCACAAAGTGGTATAACTCCTCCATTTTATATACATACATATGTATATCTAGATAGTATTTTTTTAGCACATGCAAGTGGGGATCGCGAAGGCGTCATACAAGTCATACTGGCATAATTGTTGCATACATTTTATAACAGTTGGAAATATTTTGTGATTATCGACTTAAACTACAAATTTATAAATGTTATAAAATTTATGTTACATATTACAACAATACCACTCGTTAATCCATCTAGTACATCCCCGAAATGTATTTTTAATTTTACATGTTATTATATCGAATACCAAAATTTGCATTATCTTTAATTAATCTTTTTGCAAACACATATACACAAATGTAAGTAGGTGGAAGATGTACGTATCATTACCTGAAATGCAAAAAGACGTAACAAACATCATCGTGGAAATGCAAAAAGTCATAACTAATAAAAAATTCACAAATTTACTTTTTGATTTACGTATATAATGGGTTTCATCGAATTACAACTCCCCACATCATTTTATGCAAAAAAATTAAATCATTAGTCATGACTTTATCCATTTCATTTACGATGTTGTTACGTCTTTTTGCATTGCATGTGACGATATGTAGGTAGGTGGGCGTATAAGTATAAAATCGCATTGCGCATGCGCTTTACTACAACTATGCTATAAACGTTTTTATTGCAAGCCACACACACACACACAGGGTGGACTGTGGGATCTAATAACGCGCATGCAGCAGTGTAATTACTAACTACTCTATAAAAATTGGGATAAAAAATTTAAATGAAATTTGTTTGGTGGTAGTAGTGATGATTGGTAGCAGTTGTTTTTTTTTTTGTACATAGTAGAAGTAGTAGTTGTGGTTTAATATGTATTAACAATAGTTCCCTGCTGTTTTGTGGTTTTGGTGTAAACTTTAAGATAAATTTTGTTCTGTTTCTTGATTTTTTTTGTTTCTTATTTGATTTTATTTTTTCAAAATTTATGCGCGTGCAGTACGTAAAATACTCTTTTGGATGCTCATGCTCGTAAAACAATGGCCTTTCATGACTCTTCAATTTCTCTTTTTCACAAATTTTTCTTAAGTTACTAGAAAGTAGTGAATTCTGGGTCCGAATCGCGGCATTCGTAATCGAATGATTTCTCGTTTCGAATCGAATCGTATAAAATGGTAGCTGATTTCTCCACAATGCAATTTAAACTGACGAGGCGCGATCGAATCCTTGATCTAAAAATCAAATTTCAATTCTAGTGCGTTCGATATCGAATGCCACGATAGGGGGCCTGATCATTTCCTTTACATACATACATGTATGTATGTAGATGTACTTAAATAAAATTTTGTTTCTCTTTGATGATACTTATATTTGTACATACAGTTATTCACAGAAGTATTCGTTATTTAGTGTTTTCATAATGTTCAAAAGGTTTTCCTTTATAAATATTTTTCGTACAAAATTCACAAAAACTCAGAGAATTTACGAAAAAAGCTATCAAAATTTCAAACTGTTTAATCAGAATTTGACCATTTTGGGGTATGCAGGTTTGTAGTTCGATTTTCAAAAATCAACGATTATTTTTGGGTAATAAACATCTCTTATTAAAAGGTTTGAACTTTTGATGACCATTTTTTGAAATTCGCCGATTTTTTTTTTCTAATTTTATACAAAGCTTGCAACACTGACTAATGGTTTTTGTTTTTTTAAATAAAAATGAACGCAAAAGATTTATAATGGAAAACATTTTGAAAAAAAAAAAACTAAATAACGAATACACGTGAGCAACTTTAGGTATGATTTTTTCTTTGCTCGCTTTGTTCATACATTAACATATCTATTGCAAATTATTTGAACAACTTGGTGATTCTAAATTAGTTCTAGACATACATGCATACTAGACCTTAGAACTTATTCTTCTTTGTTGCTGCTCTATTGTATATATTTTAATTATAATTATTTCTTGTATTTCCATTTCCAACTTTTAGATATAAAAGCTCCTTTTTACTCGCTTTTAAATTATTAAATATATAATTTATGTATATATAAAAAATAATCATTTTTTTATGAATACATATATGTATACCCTAATGCTAACTACAATTTGCTTGTTGTTGCTTTTCTTATAGTTTATATGATTATTATTCAATTGTTTGTTACACTTTATGCTTATTTGACTTTCCGCTGATGTAGACTAGAGCTACTGCTATCTGGATTTAGTATAGCATCATTTGATGAGAGTACACCGTCACCCTCTTTAAATGCATGGCCATTAGCGAAGCCATTCTTATAGCCATTGGTTAAGTGATGGTTTGACTTGATGACCTCGACTTCATCATCATCCATGACGGGCTGTAAAATTAAAAATTAAAAATATATAAATATATATATATAGATTGTTAGAAAACCGAAAAAAATCTTTATTTATTTACGAGAGGTTGCAGTTATTTTATTACTTCTATAATTCTAATGTTTAAATTGATTTTAGAGTAAAAGGTAAATAACGCTCTGTAACAGTAAAAATTTACTTTTCCGAGTTTTCTGGGCCAAACCGACCGTAGCTCCAGTAGACACCACATTTAAAATTTTTCTAACATCCTGAAATTCTTAAATACTCATAGAGAAAAACATTTTAAAGTGACTTTGAACTACTTTCAGCACTTCGCAACAGCAACATAATTCTTTCCCACAGGAGACATTTTAATTTTAGTCATTATTTCATTAGCGCGGCCACCGCTCCTGATGGCAATATTTCTACGTACGCATATAATAAGCTTGATAGCATCTGAATACTTCAACCTTAAGCCCGAATACACTTTAGACATAGATTTATAGTGGTACAAACATTTACTTGAACAATTGTTAAAAAGCATTAAAAGTAGAGGAGGACTTTTAAGTACATAAATATGCAAATAAAACAACGACAATGAAAATTACTCAACAAATTGGCACCTGCGCGTTAGTTAAGTATTCAATGTTTAGTTCTGTAATTAGTCTCGTTTGCTTAAGCACTTGGCACGCATTTAAGTATTTGCAGCGCTCTTAAAATTACTGAATAACCAGTCAACATATTCAGTATGTGCTCAAAAATGGTAATTAACTAATAGAAGGGCAGCCGTTTTTATGCCTGCTAATTGAAAACGAAAGGGTTGAAGTATGAAGAGTAATGCGTACATAGAACTTTGGAAGCAAAAGGTCTTGTTAATACTTGAAAAAATATATCAATAAAAATCCGTATAAAATACATATAATTGTTATTGGCTGCGTTGTAAAACATGAAAGCTAATTTACATTAATTGATTTAGTGAAGGCAATCCAGCACGTATTTAAAAAAAAAATAAATTATTCAACGTTTTAGAATTTCACTTAAAGATTCATGGTGTTCTGCATTAATTTTATATTGCAGTAATATAAAAAAATGCATACAGTTATTTACTGAATTTATGTTATCTATAAATCGAGTCAGAATTTTTTTTGGATATTTCAGGATACCAATACCAAAAGATATTTTTCTACATTCTATAAAAAATATAATTGCAAACAAAATTGTTGCCTCTAAATTTACAATCTCATTTGTACTGAAATGTGCTAGCAGAAACTTGGAGCTGTGGCGCCCCANTTTTATATTGCAGTAATATAAAAAAATGCATACAGTTATTTACTGAATTTTTATTATCTATAAATCGAGTCAGAATTTTTTTTGGATATTTCAGGATACCAATACCAAAAGATATTTTTCTACATGCTATAAAAAATATAATTGCAAACAAATTTTGTTCCTCATTTGTACTGAAATGTGCTAGCAGAAACTATGAGCTGTCGCGTTCCGCAGGGTGGTGCCCTCTCGCCACTACTGTTTAACTTCAACATCACGAAGCTTCCACGTTTGAATGCAAATGTCTATCTGTCCGATCTTGTTGGATTCTTTTATGTGAGAAGCATTACCATCTTCGCTACAAAAACAACGAAACGCTTATCGCGACCTGTACGAAGGAGGTCAAGCAACAATGATTAGTCATCGACGTAGAGGGCATCCAATACCGACGGTTTATAACTCGAAAATTTTGGTGGTTACCTTTGACAGATTGTTCTTTTTCTGCGCGCCCACAACCGCAATTGTCAATAAAGCATAAACATACAAGTCCATTGGCCGACCGCTTCTAAACTGTTCTGCGCCTGTTTGGTCAACGAAGACTAGTAGAGCGCAATGTACGATTATATAAACCTGTCTGAGCAACGTACTCGGATAGCAACTAGATGGCTTCTGATATCGTATGAACATCAGCTATGTACATGGAAGGGCCCACAAGGCCTAACAATGCTCGGCAATTTTCGCTCTGCTGCTACCGCAGAGAAGTAGCGATTAAACGGTTAAAAGCTAAAAAATATATCTTAGGTACATTTCCAAGGGAATATGTAAGGCAAAGTCTCCTACGATATGTCAATATTTGCTACACATATGAATTTACATACGTAAATTTTGAATTGATGCAAAGATAGATTGTGACTCTTATGGGAACTTGTATGCTGTTACAAAAACAACATAACATTGTTCACCGTTTTATGTAAAAAAGGGACACATACATATAAGTATTTAAAAAATGGCTTTCTAGTGGTAAAACTTTACGCTCAGCTCCCATAGAAATGGTTTACCATCTACAAGTTTTGTAATACTCACCATACAAGCACCCTTGTTATTATTCGACGCCACTAAATGATTGGACAAATCGCCATTGCTTGTTGGCGCACATTTGCCATTCGCAGTCGCAGGTATTTTAGTGTAGCCATTTGTATTGGCCTTTGTCGCCGCACTGCGCACGCGTGCATTTGTATACTTGGCTTTATAAAAGTCAGAGAAGAGAAACAGGAACATAATGCCATGCAGGCCGATCCAAACCATGAATCCTTTAGGATAATCGCAATCTCTAAAAAGCAACTGGAACTGATGAGTGAAAATGGCGACAAATTGTACCTAAAATGAATCGTCATCTGATATTATATGCATATGCCCATTTAGTTAAGATAATTAAATAACATACCATTTGGAAAGTGGTAAGATACTTTTTCCACCATATGAATTTCTGGTATTTTGGACCCATTGCAGCAATCATATAATAGAAGTACATGATAATGTGCACAAAGGAGTTCAACAAGGCAAAGAATGTGCTGTGGCCACCTGCAATAGATTAAATTTTTTAGCGATTTAGCGAGATTACCACTACTACTGCGTACGACTTGCAAAATTTTATATACGATTTTCTTGTGAAATTGTGAGCATAAATTATGAAGCATAATATGTAGCAATAGAAAAAGCGTAATTTTACCTGGCGCGAATTTCATGCCCATCCATACGGAGAAGGGCATGCAGCCATGATGAATGACATGCAACGTTGAGACGTGTTCGTTTTTCTTACGCAATATAAAGAATATCGTGTCAAAGAACTCTGTGAATTTGGAAATGTAATACCACCAACAGGTGCGTGCCATCTGCGATTGAAAATGCGAAAGAGGATATAAATTAAAATAAAAATTCACTATGAATCTACAGCTGTACATATGTAGGTGGGTATGTATGTATGTACATGCAACTACCATGTTTGTATGAAGGTGAATTAAGAGCATTTGCATAGTCTATTAAGTAGCAGCCGATTCTACTGCGATAATTTATAATTGTATATCTTCATCAGCGTACATTTCACTTGAGTGTGAGTAGTTTAAATTAAATACTTACACGCATAGCCAATGGACTATTAGAGTAATCAACAGGTTGACATTTGAAACTATAGTTGCCCCACCAACCGCTCATTAAGTACTTAAAGAGGACAAAAATTCATTAATCCTTTCATTATTAGATTTTTATTTTGTTCCTAACAAACCTCATAGAAAATCCACGCGCTGAATATTGTCTGAAAGAGATTGTAGTAGACAAGTACTTTACGCAAGTCCAAGGCTTTTCGCTTCGCCATCAGGCGCGGCGCAAGCGATTTGCTGAAGTAGGCATAGAATACGCAGAGTGCTAAGGTGGGAAATGGCGATGACATCAAAGGCCAATCTTTGACACGTGGATCTGTAAATGAAAAACGGCATTATTTTAATTTGAAAGGATAGAAAACGTTAGGATGGGCAGACTCTTGACTGGATAAAAATATATCTCTTGTTTCTATTGATTTAATTCTGAACAAATTAATAATTATCGCGGATGTGTAGATCAAATTTAAGGACATTTTTCTCAAATTCTAAATTTGCGTGGTAACAACATAGTGCCACCACTGTAGAACTTGTGTGTCTTTTTTTTTTGGGCAGAAAACGAAATGAAGTGCTTTTAAAGACTTCTTTTGGCGTAAACTGTACACCATTAAAGCATATCAGCATTATTTTTATAATCTTAATTGTCAACTGCGAGCCCATTAAAATAAAGGAATTGTTTTTTTTCAGCTTTTATGACCTTGGCTAAGTTCAATTGACTATAAATTCCACTCACCACTGCGATTGTCCATGAGATCTCTGTACCAGTCGTAGACTTCGTCTAGTATAACAGCCATTTTGACGTACGTCTCCTTTTACTGTACAGTAATGATGCTAGCTGTAAATAAACGAAAGGAAGAACCGTTGATTATTTTCCTTCTTATTTTGTTTTTGTATTTGGCCGCAAGTAATCAATACAAAAAAAAGTTAAATATCAAGCGAATGCACAACAATCTCTTTTAACGCTCCATTTGGAGGAATTCCCCAGATGCAAAGTAACTGTAAACTGGAATAATGATAACAAAATCGAGGAAACAAAGAGATTAAACCCGGATTTTCAATGCCAACAAGGGTATTAAAAATGATTCCACGCTGGTGTGGCAGTGCGGAAACGCTTCCCTAAGTTTTTATTACAGTGACACACACACACACACATTTAAGTGATTACCGTGAATTTGCACGTATGAATGTGTGTTATTGTTGCAAGCACTGGCGCTGTTAAGGCTAAGCTGCGATAAATTTAAACAGGTTTAATTGCATTATGCATATAGGAGGAGGCTCACTCTGATTGACTGCTTGTGCGAACGAGTGAACATTAATTTTTTTTTTTTATTATTACAAGCGTTTTATGCTTTTGTTTTTTCATATGCATTCACCTTAATGGAAATTTCTGACAACACATTACGGAATATTACAGCTTGTACAACAACAATAATAGGCCACATTAATAATGCACTAATTGAAAGGCGGGTACAAACTGCAATAGCATCACTAATCAGTTTGGTTAAATGTAAGACAACTGAAAAGCGTTGAACAAAAATTGTGTTTAATTCGTTGTTTTTCTTTTTGTGTTTTTTGCTTGATTTAGAATCAGTGTCAATAATTACAAGCTACTTTCAATAGAACATTGCATGCATATTTATTTTGTATGTGATGTGCCTCAATTTGAATTCAAAGCAGACATGCATAATTATACACATGCATATATGTATGTATATATGTATGCGGGTAGATATAAATCACACATACATATGTATGTATATTAGAGTGGTCCAAAAAATGTTTGTCCCAAATAGGGTTTGGGACACCTTCCAAAATTTTCCCCCTTGCCAAAAGAGGTGCTGGTACTAAGCCTTACGTTCTTAAGTATCCATTTAGAGGATGCTCATGATGCTCATATTTTACTCTAGAAGTATTGTGTACATATATTAATCAAACAATTGTTTAAGTAACCTAAGAACATTTCAAATTTAAATTATCTGTTAAAATATTACAAGCTTCAGTTGTCATGGCAACAGTAGCTTTTTATAAAAATCACCAATATTTTTGCCAGTTTCACAGCGATCCAGTAGCACCCCAGCAAAAAATCGGTAATCGCTTTTAGTGGTAACGTGTTCTAGAAGGCATAGCGTTGTAATGCCTTCGAATTTTTTCACTTCTTTTAGGCATTGTAGGTAATGCAAAGTAGAATGTC